GGCCTGGGTCTACAGCCTCAGTCATGGGTCTAAAGCCTCAGTCATGGGTCTACAGCCTCAGTCCTGGATCTACAGCCTCAGTCCTGGGTCTACAGCCTCAGTCCTGGATCCACGGCCTCAGTCCAATCAGGACAAGAGAGAAATCAGAGAGACACCAAAGAGAGCAACCAGAAAGAGAGAGACCAGAGAGAATAACATTATTACTATGGCATGTTTCTCATCCATGTGGAGCAATACAGACATTTTCAAACATGTTTTTCACAAGGATACTTTCCCCTCTCTCTCTCTTGCATACATGTATTTTATCATTATGCAGCACTTTATGGGGGTCATGGGTCTCGGTCTACTGCAGGGTCTGGGGTCTTGGTCTACTGTAGCTACAGGTCTCTGTGCTGCTGAACTCTCACGTGCGTAACAAACTATGACTGTCACGCAACCCACACAGAAATAGAATCCAAACAACTAATGAGCTGGATATGAAAGCATATTAAATATTAAAAACTCACAGGCAAACATCAGGTTTTAATCACCTTCATCCAATAATGTGCTGATCTCCTGAGCACACAGCACTTTAATGACAGAAATTAAGCTCTTTATTGATATAGTGCATTTAGCAGTTAGTAAAAGAAAACAAAATAATGCATTCACCCATTATTGTGTGTGGTTAGGGATACAAGTGGATCTACAGCCTCAGTCCTGGATCTACAGCCTCAGTCCTGGGTCTACAGCCTCAGTCCTGGGTCTACAGCCTCAGTCCTGGATCTACAGCCTCAGACCTGGATCTACAGCCTCAGTCCTGGATCTACAGCCTCAGTCCTGGATCTACAGCCTCAGTCCTGGATCTACAGCCTCAGTCCTGGATCTACAGCCTCAGTCCTATCTACAGCCTCAGTCCTGGATCTACAACCTCAGACCTGGATCTACAGCCTCAGTCCTGGATCTACAGCCTCAGTCCTGGATCTACAGCCTCAGTCCTGGATCTACAGCCTCAGTCCTGGATCTACAGCCTCAGTCCTATCTACAGCCTCAGTCCTGGATCTACAACCTCAGACCTGGATCTACAGCCTCAGTCCTGGATCTACAGCCTCAGTCCTGGATCTACAGCCTCAGTCCTGGATCTACAGCCTCAGTCCTGGATCTACAGCCTCAGTCCTGGATCTACAAACTCAGACCTGGATCTACAGCCTCAGTCCTGGATCTACAGCCTCAGTCCTGGATCTACAGCCTCAGTCCTGGATCTACAGCCTCAGTCCTGGATCTACAGCCTCAGTCCTGGATCTACAGCCTCAGTCCTGGGTCTACAGCCTCAGTCCTGGGTCTACAGCCTCAGTCCTGGATCTACAGCCTCAGTCCTGGATCTACAACCTCAGACCTGGATCTACAGCCTCAGTCCTGGATCTACAGCCTCAGTCCTGGATCTACAGCCTCAGTCCTGGATCTACAGCCTCAGTCCTGGATCTACAGCCTCAGTCCTATCTACAGCCTCAGTCCTGGATCTACAACGTCAGACCTGGATCTACAGCCTCAGTCCTGGATCTACAGCCTCAGTCCTGGATCTACAGCCTCAGTCCTGGGTCTACAGCCTCAGTCCTGGGTCTACAGCCTCAGTCCTGGATCTACAGCCTCAGTCCTGGATCTACAGCCTCAGTCCTGGATCTACAGCCTCAGTCCTGGATCTACAGCCTCAGTCCTGGATCCACAGCCTCAGTCCTGGATCTACAGCCTCAGTCCTATCTACAGCCTCAGTCCTGGATCTACAGCCTCAGTTCCCTCACTCATAGCCCTCTAATCCATATATTTATCATGCAAGATCTTCTTTCACGTTCAAATCACTTATTTATTTATTTATAATAAAAAATCTGTTTCTTTGGACTTCAAACTGCTATATTAATAAATTCCAGAAGTAAACTACAGTGTAGCCACAGCTGCCCTGGGGTAGAGTTGTATAAATGAAATACATGCCCACGCTGACACAAAGAACATAGTGAATAACTATTATCACCTATTTTATTATCAATCATTTCATGTATTAACTTTTTTATTCATCTTTGATGTGTTTTAAGTAGGGACAGTTAATTTGGCTCAGCTCTATAGGGTTAGATTGGGAAAAATAGGAGCTCAGAGTTTTGTATTAGTATTTCATTGTTAAGAAAATTAAATATTGTTTATTTGAACTCTTGAATTTCTTGGTATTCTTTTCTGGTCAAATTCTGAATCATTGTCATGTCAGTGTCATTGACAGACATGCTGCAATCTCACTCCTATCCTGTGGGGGTGTACCAAGAAAGAAAATTACCCAATGCTTATGTATGGACTAGTCTTTTTTCCTTTCAACAACGGCTTTACAGGATCGTCCAAACATTGCTCTTGGTTCAAGCTTTGTTCCAGATGCTGTCAATGCTGAGAACAATATTTGTTTTGGACCAACCTAGTTTAGCAGCTGTGGACTTTAGAATGCATTTGTTAAATGAATGGGGCTCACGCAGGCTCAGGCAGGCTAAAGCATGCGCTAGTGCCTTTATTCACATGGGCTATTTTGAAAAAGCCCAGAGAAGGCAAAATCAGCGGTGTGTGCGTGTGCGTGTGTAACTGTGTGTGTGTACATGTTCCTAACTGTGTGTGTGTAACTGTGTGTGTAGCATTTCCGTGACCTCTGCGTGTGTGACATCAGCAGTGTTTTCTCTGCTCCAGCTGTAGAAGCATCACCGTGACGACAAAGACACCGCCTCTGATTGGTCCAAGAATCACGTTGCATTCAGGGACTGCACTAAGAGCTGGGAATTTGTACAGCAAGAAGCAACAGAAGCAACAGAAGCAACAGAAGCAACAGAAGCAACAGAAGCAACCGAAGCAACAGAAGCAACAGAAGCAACCGAAGCAACAGAAGCAACAGAAGCAACCGAAGCAACAGAAGGCAGTGTATTTTGACAAAGCAGTGCACACGGACGTTTCACCTGATCATCACTCGTGGAATTGAAACCACTCAAACCAAAACATACAAGTAATTATTAACTCATCGACTGCCATTGAAGTACAGTATTTGTCTGAGACCCTCTATTTGACTGAGGATTACAGGACAACAAAAAGAGCTAGAAACAAACTTTTTTTTGCTGATGAAAGTAGACAATCCAGTCTTTCAGAATCTGGTTTCATATTTCACATAGTCTCAGGTAATAAAATTCTGTGGGTCTTGAGAATCAGTGAAATCATTAAAAACGGCTGGCAGTCAATGAGTTAAGAACCAAAACACGGCTAAAGTAATTACAATACCACTCAAAAACATATTCCTTTTATCACTAGTTTTCACGTTTTCTGCCCTCAATTACATCTGTAGATCAACTTTTTCATAATAGTAACAAAGAGAGGACCACCCTCCCTCAGCCAATCAGCTCTCAGCCCAATAAGTCAAAGAAACGAAAAATATTTAGATGAAGAAACTTGTTGTGGTGTGAGCTACAAAAATAATGAAATATGAATAAATAAAATGTTTGCCGTGTCACTATATACTTCTGCAGCAAATGTGTGGTGAGAGTTTGTGTGGATTTGGGGCTGACACCATGAGAACGTCCCAGAGAAAGAGTTTTCCGCTCATCAATAAAATAACGAGTCAAGGACACAACATGATACTGGTCCCTGTCTCCTGCTGCAGCACGCCCGAGCTACAGGAAGACACGGCCTCGGCTTTCAGAATAAGACCTTATTATAGTCTTGACTTCAGTAACAGAAGTGACACAGCAGAGACTCAGTGAGAGAACAAACTGTATTTTTAATGATATTTCATGTTTATGTAGATTTTAATGTTTATGATTTATGCTTGATGTTATATGTGTTGTGAGGCGCTTTGTGTTGCTTTGTGTAGGAAATGCACTCGACAAATTCTGCCGCCTGCTCACACACACCCGCTCCAGCGAACACATCATTCCCGTCCTCAAACAACTCCACAAGTTCAGGGAAAAAAATCAGAATGCAGTTGTACGGTCAAAAACTGTTGGCCTATGTACCCAGGCTAACTCCACTCCCTAAGGTGCGCCCCCAACTGGCAATATATCAGTGGTGCAATGGATTTCAAAATAAAATAGCCATCAATTAAACTTATTAGACCAAATGATGAGACAATAATAAACCAACCAGACTCTCCCAGAGACAGACAGAGGGTGTTTTCTTGCCGATGCAGCAGGGTCTAAGGTCAGTGGTTATGATCCAGGACACTCAACATTCCATAACATATATGAAGATTGGTCTCTGCCCCTTATGGACCAATGGCTCCACCAATGTGTTTGTTATCATTGCATTTCCTGAGTTTGATTCTCTGATCTCTGACGGCAAATCGACTGCTTAGTAAAGTCCTCCGAGATAACTGCTGTTGCAATTTAGGACTATACAAAAGTAAATTCAATGGAAAATAAATTGGTTGCATGCCCTTTGGACTCTGAGCAGAAATATACTATAGCACAAGGACTAAGGGCAATGGGTTGGCAACCAAGTCTCATAGCTGTGCATAACTGGATCAACTATATATGGTGTATATGTATGGGAATGAATGAGGAGCAAAAGGCCTGTTATTGTTCTGTACTTGTTCTCTATTTCCAATATTTTTTTAAAGACAAAATAAAGACTTATTTCAAAGTCAAAGTAATAAGGTCAGACATCTAAAATCAACTTTACTTTGAAATCGTAACGCGGAAGTGACCAGTTCCTCTGTGTTTACGTCTTTACGTTGACTCAGGTGACTCTCAGAATTATTTATCCAGCCTTAATTCCTCCAGTTCAATTACACATCAGCTCTTCTCCAGCCTGTATCTTACACGTGCCTCTTTTATCTTAATTCAATACAACAACAAATCTGTCATTTCTCCTCCCAGCTGTCATCAGACGGAGGAGGAGGAGGTTGCCCTGGTGTCCACCTTCATGATCCCAGCATCACATCTGCTGCATGTCAAACACATTCACGCACACATACATGGACATTTACTGTAATAATTACCACCAGCTTGTCTCACCTTTCGCTTCGCAGTCCGCACAAAACTTATTCTCCTCCTCTCTCAGCAATTTAGACAGAATGGCCTGGTGCTGTTCGTTAAGTTTCTCTGCTTTTTCCCGTTCAGACCGGGTCGCCATGGTTGGTTGGGGGTATGTTTTGGTATGTTTTGCCGGGGAAAGGGTTGTCAGAGGTGGGGTGGAAGCTGGCGAGTCCCTGGCGGTGCTCAGTGGCGGTTACAGAGCGCTGGACATCCCGGGAGGAGAGAGCACGGAGCAGGGGGCGGTGCAGAGCTGCTGGAGCGTTAGCCGTTAGCAGGTGGTGTTAGCATCTGCTGCTAGCAACCTGTCGATGGAGGAGAGAGGCGTTCGAGGGCGTGGGGATTTACAGCATCGCAGGGAATAAATGTGTCAAATTAACAGAGTCGTTCATATTGACTGGATAAATGATACATCACTTGAACGAGAATTTACTTGTATTTTTTGTTGTCTATTGCTCTTAGCACTTGCACTCCCAGAGTAATTAGCTAAACTGCTCCCTTTCAAACACTTGGAAATCTGAGAAATGTGTTCCACCACGTTTACCAAACGTTAGTTGTTTAAAATGAGTTATAAACCTGGTGAATATAACAGCAAATATATTTTATTGAAAGGTTACCAAATGCTAACTGCTAGCAAGTAAACTCTGTGTTGCTATGGCAACTAAGGAAATTTGCTCAGAACAAGGACCTGTCAAGCACCAGTTCATGGCCAGTCTAGGACCAGTCCAGGACCAGTCTAGGACCAGTCCAGCACCAGTCCAGGACCAGTCTAGGACCAGTCCAGCACCAGTCCAGGACCAGTCTAGGACCAGTCCAGCACCAGTCCAGGTCCAGTCTAGGACCTGTCAGGTTACAGTCCAGGACCAGTCTAGCACCAGTCCAGGACGTGTCAAGAACAAGTCCATGACCAGTCTAGGACCAGTCCAGGACCAGCATCTTGAAACTGCCATAGAAAGTCAACACTGCTATAAAGGAGATTAACGGCTTATTAACCGAGCGCGGCCTTAATGTACAGACCGAGCCGTGGCGAGGTCTGTGCAAAAAGGCCAAGGTCTGATATTTCTCTGTACAGACCGAGCAAGCGAGGTTAATAAATGTTTTATTATATGACTCTCGTCTGTGTCTTTACCAATGCTTTTGAGATATTTGTGAAGTATGTTCAGGTCCGACTTGGTTTTGTGTGATACGGGCTGTGGACCGATTGTCATGGTAACGGTCCGTGGAAAGATATCAAATGTGATACCCGCTGTTCGGACCAATTGTCATGGTAACGGTCCGAGATGGGAAAATATCAGACCGCAAATCAACCAATCAGAGCGCGCGTACGGTCCAAGTCATATAATAAAGGTATTTTACTGGTCCATTACACTGTAGCAGTTTGTTAGTTTGGCTAAAGTTCTATTCCAGACGATTAAAAGATAGCAATGTTGTTACTAACAACAGGCTTCTTCTCTGACAATGTTCAAATCCAGGTTAAAACAGTCAACTCACGTCAACTGTATTAACTGTATCTTCACTCTTTTCAATGTATGTGATTATGTTTAATGTAATTGTTTCTCTTGTTTTGTTCAGCTCTTTGATTTGCCTTACGTATCAACTGTACTATTCTATTAAACTTGCCTTGCTCCCTCCTCCAGACTGCCCAAGAGCGCAGAAAGAGAGCTCTGAGGTCAGCTGCTGCTCAGTAAACATATACATCATGTTGACTGGTTACCTGACATAAAGCAACATTACCATCTACTGGACAAGAGAAAGTACTACACCTACTGATGACCTAATTTTGCATGCTTTTTTGTTTTGTGAGTTGCCTTGGGTATGAACTGTACGATACTAGCCTTGCCTTTATATAAAAGCAGTCACAACTTTTTCTTATTTTTTCCACAGAATGTCCCAGTATAAATTGCATTAAAGTTTATTTGACAGCAGGACAAACAGGCAAATGCACAGTCGGACATGGCACAGACAAAAACACAGCAGCGTCAAACTACATTCAGATAATGTACAATTTACACACAAACTATTAGATAAAGATTGTAAAAGAAAAAAAAGACATGAATATATACGAAATAATCACAATAAATTAAAAAGATAAACTACAAAACATTAGCTTATAAAACAACTAAAAACAGATTGATTCTTTATCAAAAGGTAAACATGATTAGTTAAAGACAATATTGAGATTGAAAAAGAAATCCTTCACATTAAGTCCAGTCGCACTTTGGCAGAGTTCAAAAGTAGTTTAAAATAATACTGATTTCACAAAACAATAACAAAACACACAATTAATAAAAACTATTTGTTTGGCACAATTTTGGTTCAATTTGAGAAACATTTGAATAGTGTAAGCACTGACCTGTCTGACAGCTCTGTGTGGAGTGTCTGCAATTTAATATTCTCTAAAAACTATAGTTAGATTAGCCCTGTTCCCACCAGCAATACCCTACTCTACTTTACTCTATCCTTCTCTACCCTACTCTACTCTACCCTACCCTACCCTACTCTACCCTACCCTACCCTACCCTACTCTACCCTACCCTACCCTACTCTACCCTACTCTACTCTACTCTACCCTTCTCTACCCTACCCAACTCTACTCTACTCTACTCTACTCTACTCTACTCTACCCTACTCTACTTTACTCTATCCTTCTCTACCCTACTCTACTCTACTCTACCCTACCCTACCCTACTCTACCCTACTCTACTCTACTCTACTCTACTCTACTCTACTCTACCCTTCTCTACCCTACCCAACTCTACTCTACTCTACTCTACTCTACTCTACCCTTCTCTACCCTACCCAACTCTACTCTACTCTACTCTACTCTACTCTACCCTTCTCTACCCTACCCAACTCTACTCTACTCTACTCTACCCTACTCTACTCTACTCTACTCTACCCTTCTCTACCCTACCCAACTCTACTCTACTCTACTCTACTCTACCCTACCCTACCCTACTCTACCCTACCCTACTCTACTCTACTCTATACACTACCCTACTCTACTCTACCCTACCCACCCTATACTCTACTCTAAAAACTACTGGTCTTTCTGTAGTCCCCCTTGGCCCTAATTCTATCCAGGCCGAGCTGGCACTAAAGTGTTCTAACTTACAGTGATTGGTCAGAGTGCTGCTGGAAGCCATGGTTACCAAGGAATTTTCCTGAATACTGGTTTGTTGTGTGTAGGTCACCAGATACTTAGGTGTAATGGAAACACAACCAGGTAGAGTAGAGTAGAGTAAAGTAGAGTAGAGTAGAGTAGATGGAAACAGGGCTTGTATGAACACTGTGGACCAAGGGAAATAAATAATACATTTTCCATTTGAGAAAAGAGACAAAAGTAATTAATTATAGAAAAATAAATCACTGATAAAGAGGATAATAAACCTATGTGTGTTTGACAATTTCCCAAGTGAGAAATCGTAAATACTACTGAATGGTTAACAACACAAAATACACTAAAATTAAATTACAGCTAATGACAACTCCTATTTATAAGAGAAACAACATGGCCAGTTCAAAGCCATTGTGTACTTAGGGCCACGGTCACAATACAGCCCCCCATAATCTCCTATCATAATGAAAAAGAGACAAGATTGTGTGACTGGGTGGAAAAATGCAAAATAAACATGGCACAAATTATAATAATTCATGTTTAAATAATGAGTCAACTTTTCAAGAATTAACTTTTTCCTCCCCAAAATTGTCAGCCAGCTTTGAAACTTTTCCTTCTATTGATTTTAAAGTCTATGTTTTACGATATTATAATTTGGGGCCCACAACTGAAATCTTACATAGGGTTCCAAAATTCTTAGAGACGGCCCTGCCCTAGACTGGACTGTTTGGTAATGGCTACAATTCCACCTGTTTTTAGCACATTTTTAGCACATTAGCATATTCATATTGTATTTTATGAACAGACATTATAAAAATTGCTTTTAAATCACTATTTCTCCATAGCAGGAATCCACGGCTGTTTTTCAAAGTTTCCGTTTGTTTACATAGAGTTGTGGCTGAAGCTTTTGAGTTCAATGGTCGTTGTCGTGCAGTTTTCGGAGCTTATTCTAAAGACAAAATGTAGGCCACATTTCCGCGTGACGTCTGCAAAGTTAATTTTTGACCTGATGCGAGCAGATAATGCTTTTGTAAACAGAACCAAAGAACAGGTCCAATCCGTCTGTGGGGTTACAGACAAAATACTTTTCCATGTCTTTTCCATACATCGCAGAAGGCTGTTCCAAAACCCCATTTCAGAATTTAAATACCTCATTTATAAAAACTGAACTTAGAAATTAGCTAGTGGTTAAAAAAACAAAACATAAACTTCCATTTGGGTTTTTTGGCACAAATCCCATTGTGTTTCACCAAAATCTACAGCACAAAAGATTTTAGGGATAGACTTTTTCAGTCCTGTCAGAATAAATAGTGCAAGAGGGGGAGAGACCGATGAGACCAGAGACAGAGACCAGAGAGAGACCGAAGAGACCAGAGAGAGACAGAATAGACCAGAGAGAGACCAGAGAGAGACCAGAGAGACCAAAGAGAGACCAGAGAGAGACCAAAGAGACCAAAGAGAGACCAGAGTGACCAGAGAGAGACCAGAGAGAGACCAGAGAGAGACCAGAGAGAGACCAGAGAGAGACCAGAGAGAGACCAGAGAGACCAGAGAGACCAGAGAGACCAGAGAGAGACCAGAGAGAGACTAGAGAGACAAAAGAGAGACCAGAGAGAGACCAGAGAGAGACCAGAGAGAGACCAGAGAGAGACCAGAGAGAGACCAAAGAGAGACCAGAGTGAAATCGCGAAACTACGGTCGGCACTTACAAAGTTGTTTTCAACTGGTCCACGAGTTTTTTAAGAATTTAAAAACCTGGAGCCTAATTCATAAAAAACTAAATCTAAAATGTTGCTAGAATGTATTGTAAGTAAGTCCCTCCACGTCTGGACATGGTCTGAATCAAGTTGTCTTTTTGTAAATCAGAAACTTAATCTGGAAAGTAATGTAGATTATTGTTAGATTTATAACTGAGGCCCTCTCTCTTTCATTATTAATGTAACCAATGACATTTTTTGTATCTACAACTTATTTACACCTTAAACTTAGTCCAGTTAAGACCTGTGTTTGTGCCATCTTCAATCCACTCTCCATTACTATGTTCTTGAGTAGTATCAAAACCAGCTGTATTATGTAGTAGTGAAAGTGAAAGTGAAAGTAAGGCATTGAGGCTTGTCGCTCAGAGGATCTGTGGTTCGATTTCATTGGTTTTTTAAATGTATTTTTAAAGTCTAACTTGGACAATAGTGTGATTTTGAATAGCACCAAGAAACAGATGCCCTCTAGGTGAAATATTGGCAGTTAAAGCTGAGGTACTTGACTTTCAAAACCCCAACTATGAAAAAAAAAAGACTAGTTGGAACCTAAAACTAGTCAAACTAAATTAAAACTATGCATGTATTTTTGGCCAGCGGCAGAGACCACCAGAGAGAGAGACCATAGAGAGACCAGAGACCAGAGAGAGACCAGAGAGAGACCAGAGGGAGAGACCAGAGGGAGAGACCATAGAGAGACCAGAGAGAGACCAGAGAGAGAGACCAAAGACCAGAGAGAGACCAGAGAGAGACCAGAGAGAGAGAGACCATAGAGAGACCAGAGAGACCAGAGAGAGACCAGAGAGAGACCAGAGAGAGACCAGAGAGAGAGACCAGAGAGAGAGAGACCATAGAGAGACCAGAGAGACCAGAGAGAGACCAGAGAGAGACCAGAGAGAGACCAGAGAAATACCAGAGAGAGAGACCATAGAGAGACCAGAGAGACCAGAGAGAGAGACCAGAGAGAGAGACCAGAGAGACTAGAGAAAGACCAGAGAGAGACCAGAGAGAGACCAGAGAGAGACCAGAGAGAGAGAGACCATAGAGAGACCAGAGAGACCAGAGAGAGACCAGAGAGAGAGACCAGAGAGAGACCACAGAGAGACCAGAGAGACCAGAGATAGAGACCAGAGAGAGAGCACACCAACAAATATGCAAAAGGTGAACCGCTTTACAATGAGAGACCACTGTATTTTTCAAAAAAATAATGTACCCCAGCTTTAAAATAGATTGTGATCCTTCCGATGACCACTGTAGGTGCATCCATACAAAACTCTTCACCTCTTGAAATCTTTGAAATCTCAGATGATTTTGGGATTTTAAATGTTTGTGATTGGTCGCCTTGTTCTTCACAGGACGGACTCGATGGCCTCTGGTGCCGGGTCCTGGTTCTTGTGATGGTGTGTGACCAGGGGAGACGTCTCTTCGTGAGCCGCTGTGTTAGCTTCCACCCGGACCTCGCTGAGCTCGCCCACATGGTCCGACTCCTCCAGGGGCCTCTTCCTCTGCTCCTGCTGGTTAATGTGGTGCAGGATCCCGGCCCCCAGCGCGTCGCCCTCTACGTTCACAACAGTGGTGGTGCGGTCGCTGCACAGAGAGAGAGAATTAGGTGAAGAGTAATGTTTGCTGGATCTACAGCCTCAGTCCTGGATCTACAGCCTCAGTCCTGGATCTACAGCCTCAGTCCTGGATCTACAGCCTCAGTCTTGGATCTACAGCCTCAGTCCTGGATCTACAGCCTCAGTCCTGGATCTACAGCCTCAGTTCTGGATCTACAGCCTCAGTCCTGGATCTACAACATCAGTCCTGGACCAAACAGTCTCAGTCCTGGATCTATAGCCTCAGTCTTGGATCTATAGCCTCAGTCCTGGATCTATAGCCTCAGTCTTGGATCTATAGCCTCAGTCTTGGATCTATAGCCTCAGTCCTGGATCTATAGCCTCAGTTTTGGATCTACAGCCTCAGTTTTGGATCTACAGTCTCAGTCATCCCAGATCCTATGAACAAGTGATTCTATGTGTTTGTTATTGTTGCCTTTCCTGTGTTTGTGTGTTTGATTCTCTGATCTGTTGTTGGCAAATCCACAACTTTGCAAAGCCCTTTATCGATTTAGGGCAATACACAAACACAACGGTCACTCACACGATCCAGTCCACAGCCAGCATCAGGGACAGGTCGTTGGTGGGCAGCCCGATGGCCTCCAGGATGATGGCGATGGTGATGATGCCTCCGGCCGGGATCCCAGCAGCGCCCACACTGGAGGCAGTGGCCGTGACGCTGGAGAGAGAAGACACGGGTCAGGGCTGGTCCAAGTCCAGACTCAAGAACTCTGCATGAGTCGCGTGGTCCGCTTTCCACCAGATCATTATCAAGTCATTAATACGTTTTTTTACCTTTACTCACTTTTATTAAGTGCTAAAACTGGTGAATATGACAGAAATACAGAAAAAATAGTTGGTTGAAAGGCTAACGCTAAAGACCAAATGCTGACTGCTGAAAGTAAAGAATGTGTTGCTATGGTAACTAGCACTCGCTATTCTCTGGTGAAAAACCAAAGTGACTCGGCTCAGAACCAGGACCAGTCCAGGACTAGTCCAGGGTAGGACCAAGATCAGTCCAGGACCAGTCCAGGACCAGTCCAGGACTAAGGACCAATTAAGGACCAAGGATCAATCCAGAACCAGGCAGAACTCAAATTTAGAGTTAATGTAACAGAAATAAACAACAAAATAGAAAGAGAAAAATCCACAAAGTTACGAAAACACAAATGTACAATGTGGTTTAAGTAAGTAAGTAAGTAAGTAATCTTTATTTATAAATAAGTTTATTGTTAAATGATAGATTGCTTAATGTGTGCATGACCTGAGTCTCTAATCTACTGTACTGCGCAAACAACATTGAAATTTCCCCTGAGAGACGTTTAAAGGTTCATCTGATCTTATTATAAACAGAAGCGATACTCACAGAATGGTGAAGATCTGTCCCGCGTTGAGCTCGTAGTTGTTGAGCTGCGCAATGAAGACGGCGGCGATGCACTGGAAGATGGCGGCGCCGTCCATGTTGACCGTGGCGCCGATCGGGAGAATGAAGCGGCTGATGCGTTTGTCCACACCGTTATTTTCCTCCACGCACTTTATCATAGAGGGCAGGGTCGCAGAGCTGACACACACAATGTTGCAACCGTTTAGGAAACCAAACAGAATCACAGACTGTACACAGATGGACAATGCTAATGTGCTAGCTCCATGTAGCCCAATAGCTAACTCCGTCCAACTCGCTGAATGATTATTCAATTATGAATACAATTATGGAAGCTCATTCATTCTAACATTTTAATCCAGTGCACTAGAGGGCGCCAGAGACTAAAAAAAATTGATCGCATGGCTGCAACCAAAACTCAACTTGGTTCTGGACCTACAGCCTCAGTCCTGGACGTACAGCCTCAATATTGGGTCTACAGCCTCAGTCCTGGATCTACAGCCTCAGTCCTGGATCTACAGCCTCAGTCCTGGATCTACAGCCTTAGTCCTGGATCTACAGCCTCAGTCCTGGATCTACAGCCTCAGTCCTGGACATACAGCCTCAGTCCTGGATCTACAGCCTCAGTCCTGGATCTACAACCCCAGTCTTGTTCTCTCCCAGCTCTAGCACAAGCCACAAACCTGGAGCAGGTGGCAAAGGCGGTGGTGAACGGCGTGATGAGGCCGGACAGGAAGCTGTAGGGGTTTTTCCGCGTGAAGCCGAAGTAGATGAGTGGGAGCACGATGCCTCCGTGGATGACGTGTCCCAGGATTGAGGCGAATATGTACTTCCCTAAACTAGTCACAAGCAAAACGACGTCCTCCATCTCCACGATCTTACTGCCCACCAGGAACATAATGCCGAAAGGGATGTACCTGTGATACAGAGCAGAAGCAACGACTAAGGCCAAGAGTGGAGGGGCCAGAACATTAGTCTATCTGTATCAACTGTATCTATCTGTCTGTCTATTGATCTGTCTACCTATCTATCTATCAATAGGGGAGGGACCAACACCAATGAGGAAGATAGATAGATAGATAGAAGGAAATCCGTAGGGAATCTGTGGATTTCTAATAATAATGAGAATATTTGCTTTGTCATGTCATGTTTTAGAATGTGGATTAATGTCATGTGGGCACTGACCACATGATCCAGGACACCAGCACCATGGTCGCCTCGTTGAAGGCGTTGAAGAAGCGGATCAGCTCCTCCCCCTCCTCCCCCAGCTTCCTCAGGGCCACTCCGAACACCATCGCAAACAGCACCAGGCCCAGGATGTTCATGCCCTCCGCCTCTGTGCCCACCGGGACCTGAACACAAACAAATATGCACTTTTACTAACATTTATGAGCATTTATGAACAATACAGAGTTTTTAAGTCGTTTTGGTGCATTTCTCACATCACTATTATTAACAATTGCACAACAGTTAGTGCATTTCTGTGTTTTTATTGTGAGACTTTAAGCCTAGCGTACATCGACAGAGAAACTGGGGACAACTAGTTGCAAGGCGGCTTTTGGCAACTGAGAGGAGATGGTGGGAGATGATCAGTTGCCGAAATCGGTCGATGTGCGCGCTCTTACAACTGGAGATGATCAGTCGGTCTCCAGTTCCAGTCAGTTGCCCGTGTTCTACTTTTCGGCAACTAGTTGTCCTCAGCTGCCCCGATGTGCGCGCTCCATGCGCCGCTCCAACAACGTGTGTGTATTGCGTGTATTGCGAGCCCGCAACAGTTTGTTGTCAGAAAACACACTGTAGTTGAGGCCAGTTGCTGTCGATGTACGCGCTGTTATTCAAGAGACTGGCCTGCGACTCAGAGTTGCCCGTTTTCGCCAGATTGTCGATGTGTGCGGGGCAGCAACTCAGAGGCGACGGATATAATCAGTTGCCAGTCCGATGTACGCTTGGCTTTACTCTCTGTGTTTTCATTGTGACTGTTTACTATACACAGCCAAGTTACAAATGACTGTATTTAGTGAGGTAACTGAGTACAGTTTTATAGGGAAGGACTATTCAGCATTAAGTATGTTTCATATTGACTGATGTGACATAAGCAAATGTTATAAAACAGCAGAGAATGATATTGTGTTAACTTCAGTCAACACGACCCGCCGCAGTTTAGACCCCATTAGACCCTAATTTAGGGTCTAATGGGGTCAAAATGACTTTGGGCTGGTCAAGTTCGGAGAAATTACCAAATTCATCTCTCCATTCATGTGAGAGTTATCTCTTGTCTGTAATAAGGTCCTGTGTCCTGAATGTTTGAGGATAACGTTTTTGCACTTCCCTCCTCAGTGTTTGCTTCCGGTCATGTGCAGAAAATAATAAATGTCACAGAAAAGTTGAGTCTTATTTTACTGAAATCCCAACACTTTTTTGCCAATTCCCAGCCCTGGGAGCGACGCGGCAGGACTAGGGTTTAATCCCGGGATACGGGATTCCCGGGAAATCTGATGAAAACTATTTCCAGATTCCCGGGAAATGTTATGACGGGAAACGGGAAACGAAAGTAAAAAAAAAAATACAGTGCGCTCCTATTATAAAGCACGTTTATTGTTGTTCAAAGTTCAAACATATTTCATTTACAATCAACATGTCTACAGCTGAGAGGATGGCTCCTAAATTGTGTTTTTGACAACAAATATGGGTCTTAATCGCGCTAAACCACGACTTGTAATGAGGCCAGGCTCAGGGTACGGGGCACATGTGAGCCCAGAATTTGGTTACGTCCAATTCTATCAGAAAGCTCCTTTCTTTTTTTCCATCTGCTAAGGGCAGCAACAGGTTTGGCTAACATACATATAACACATTTTAAAATCATATAAAATGCATTTAGGGTAATGTTCTGCTTACAATGACGATAGGAATGATAAGGAAGAGAGGAGAAGGGTAAGAAGGTTGATATTAGAAATTGGATGCGCCCGAGAGCCGGCTGCAGCGAACACACGGAGGAGTTTATGGAGGTGGCACCCGTTTTGTTTTACGCTTTAAAACTCTTTGGGCTTATTTCCAAATGGGGGATTACATATCTGCGCTCAAACTATTATATGGACTTAAACATGAAACTGGTCTGAACCGAAGTGGTCTGTGCTGTTCATTAATAACTAAGGTAAGACCCATAACACAATTGGAAATGTGCCTTTTACGAACTTTTGCGTTTTGTTTGAGCAAACAATGCGGGCCATGGAAAACATTCTGCTGTAGCCAAACTAATTGTGAATAAGCCGCTCTGTAGGTTCTGTTGACTTATATGATATATGTTCATCTGACAGGGCTGAAGTCAGTGCCTCCAAACCACACCGCACGTCACTTTTCGACAAGTGGATTGCGCAGACATTTAGAATCTCATAATAGTGAAATTCCTGAAGAAAGCCCATCAACAAAATGTCTGAAAACGCTATGGCTACTTTATAAAAGCTAGCAAGTCACTTGGTGAAACACTAGTGGAGATGGCAGCTTTTGTTGGATTATATATTTGAGTGATATCATACATTACTTGGGCTAAAAACAACAACTACAAACAACAGCTATTTCCCGGGATTTCCCGGGAAAGGCGTCGTCTTTTCCCGGGATATGATACGTCTCATTTTCGGGAAAAATATTAAACCCTAGGCAGGACTGAATACAGACATGTGGACACTCTTTTATGGTTTTATATCAATGCTGAGATTTCAACGTGCCATAGATAATTATGTATAACAGACAGAAGGCTCTCACAGCTGTTTTAACAAAACTCTTCATTCCGCCCAATGGAAACGGACGGTGATTGCAGCTGACGTGTGATTGGCCGGTTTCCAGAGGCTCCTGTGAAACTCCAGAGCTGGGAGTGTGTTGTGTTGTGTCTAATGTCAACACCAGAGCTGCTGCTGTGATAACGCGACCGCAGAGACGAGCTGACCGCGTGGAGCCCAACCTGGACCCGAGCCAAGACAGGCAGACTCTCCAGTCCCACAGTGAGACCAGCGGAAAACCAGAGAGACCAGCAAACAACCAGAGAGACCAGGGACAAGAGCTAAGACCCACAGAGAGACCAGTGAACAACCAGAGAGAGAGACCAGCTAACAGGTCTGAGAGAGAGACCAGTGAACAACCAGAGAGAGAGACCAGCTAACAGGTCTGAGAGAGAGACCAGTGAAAAACCAGAGACCAGGGACAAGAGCTAAGACCCACAGAGAGACCAGTGAACATCCAGAGAGAGAGAGAGGTGTTTTCCTGTCTGTGAATGCAGACTTCCCTTTCATGGAGCCAGTGAACTCCTACTCTGGACCTATTGAACCATAAACACATTACCTTCTGGTAGATCTTGGTTCCGTTGGTGATATTTCCGACAGCCACCATCTTGTAGTCTGTGGCGTACTGCAAAGACAAACACATGATGTTCCTCATCACCACAGACACAGACATTTTTCAATATTGACTTGAAATTCACTGGACACTGGGAAAACATAGATTCGGTGCCAATCAACACAGGTTTGAATATAACACAGATGACTACAGGGCCTCCTGCTGGGACTCTGAGGAGCACAGGGACTGTTCTCCTGCTGGGACTCTGAGGAGAACAGGGACTGTTCTCCTGCTGGGACTCTGAGGAGAACAGGGACTGTCCTCCTGCTGGGACCTTGAGGAGCACATGGACCGACCTCCTGCTGGGACTCTGAGGAGCACAGGGACTGTCCTCCTGGTGGTGTCCCAGAGTCAGGGCTAAACATGGGGAAGGCACCGTTTCAGATTTAAAACAGTCTTCCTGAAAATGTGAGGCAGGATTCTTCTCTGACAATGTTCAAATCCAGGTTAAAACAGATGCTTCCACTAAAGCAAAGTACAGTGGGAGCCACAGAGGTCACTGGGTCCAGACCTGGTCCTTCCCACAGTCCTGGACCTGGACCAGTTCCAACCAGATTCAACACAGAGCGGCTGTGGTTTACACAGGATCAGAGACACATCACTGACTGCGGTGGGAACAGTCACGTTCAACACACACAGATTCTTTATGCGTCCCACAAAGTGGAAATATGATTGTAGCGTCAGAAGTTACATACTTTTTTCACTGGGTTTTTAAAGTTGTTCCTCTCTGATGCAGGACGGCCTTAGGACAGTGAGGACACAGGACACTCCACATTCAACATTATTATTGGACACTGGTCTCTGCTCCTCACGGATCAATGGCTCTATGTGCTTTTTATCATTACATTTCCCGTGTTTGAACCGTTTGATTCTCTGATTTACTGTTGGCGAATCAACAAGATGTGATTTACTTACTTACTTACATTGACTGGATTAATGAGAGAATTTACTTAATTTTGGTTGGGGGAAGCTTCGCCCTGTCGGTACTTATTTTCCGATAATGACCTGCGTACTTTACGTTATCCCTTACATAATGAAGGCGTTTTGATAAAAGTATTACCTTTTCATGGCAAGAGTTTGGAGATTATTCTGTGGGCTATATTCTGAACAAAATTAGGTAATTATTTGTGAAAAGTCCAAGAAAACAAGATGGGTCCTACAATACGTGAATCTATATTTAAATACATGGGTTAAACATTTAGAGTGAATTATACATGATTGTTTTATTATTGAGAAATGTGGCTTTCTCAAACAGGCTGTGTATATGTAAGTATGTATGTATATAATCTGAAGCCTGCTTTGGAGATAGCAACAACCTAGCAACCAAAGAGCCAATCAGGAGCTTTCTCTGCTCACACTATTTGCTGCTGAAGCCAAATTTGTGGACAGAAGGTTCTTGATTGGTCCGTTGTTACAAACATTTTAAAATATAAACAGCAGGGTCAAACAGAAACTGAGATTTTTGTGCCCAAAATGGTGAGTGTGACACAAACAGTTACTGTTTAGAGGAGTTTGTGAGTCAGTAAATCTTCACTATCTGGCTTCTTAGAGGAGCTGGCTACAGTCTATGGTTGTATATGATCATTGTTTTTGTTGTAGCCACAGTGTCCGGCTCCAGTGAAGAATGCAGAGAACAGAGAGTCCACAGCTGCAAAGTTACAGATGTAGCCTTTCACTGAATATTTGCTCTGTGACTGTGGCCGCAACAACACTGTGGCTTTGAACGGGTACTACCACCTCTCCATCCTCCTCCCTCCTCTCCCTAGGATGCACAGGGTCTCTGCTTCGCAACCACTGGCAGTCTAGTTAGAGGAGAGACCCGGCTGGGGCCCTGTCATGAAGCCACCTGTGCCATTCCCTTAGTGATAACACAAAGAATACATTACAGAAAGGCATCTGGAGTTAATCAGTCTAATCATGAAAATCTAATTCTTGTTCCGTGTAAGAATCAGTCGACCACAACCGCTGACACTGAAACTTTGAAACTTGTTATGCTAAATGTCAGATCTCTTTCTAACACGTCTTTTTTATTCAATAATTTTATTTTTTCTCATAATCTTGATCTTATGTTCATGGCTGAAACATGGCTTGACCAAAATACAGAAAATGCAGTTTTAATAGAAGCATCACCACCAAATTTCAAGTTTGAATCTGAAATACGGGAAAACAAAAAGGGAGGAGGCTTAGCTGCCATTTTTAGAGACCACTTTGTCTCCCATAGAATGTCTCTTGGGAAGTTTCCGTCTTTTGAATATGTGTCTTTTAAAATACAACAAAAACAATCTCCTCCAATACTCTTCATAGTCCTATACAAGCCACCGCAGTCATGTCACAGTTTTATTGATAATTTTACCAAGTTGCTTTCAGTTGTATGCACAGATTTTGATAGTTTAGTTATTACAGGTGATTTTAATATTCATGTGGATAATGTTGATGACAGAAATGCAAATGAGCTGAGTTCTGTACTTGAATCCTTTGATCTCACTCAGCACGTGACTGGCCCCTCCCACAGCAGAGGGCACACTCTAGACCTGTTAGTTACTAAGGGGGTGAATATTTCAAATATAAGCGTGGTCGATGTTGCTCTTTCGGATCATTTCTGTGTATTTTTTGACATGTGTTTCACTAACAAACCACCAGTGGACTCTGCAACTGTTCGAAGAAGACACATAAATGAAAATACGAGTGAACTATTTATGGCACATGTGTCAAAGTCAAGGCCCGCGGGCCAAATCCGGCCCGCGAATGAATTATCTATGGCCCCCGGGACATTGCCTGCCATTGAGGCAATGTATTGACCCCTTAAGCTCGCTAGCCCCCGCCGGCGGGAGCAAACGAGGAAAAAAATACTTCTGCTGGCAATAGCAGATGTATTTTGAACTTCATAAGCCACAAGCTATATATCATTTTAAAGCTTATTTTCTCAGCTATATTTATATGTAAGTGTAAACGATATCAGACTTTGCATTAAAAAGATATAACGCATAATATGGGCACAAAATAAATCAGTCTGTATTTGTTTTTTACATTTTGTCTTCTGCTGCTCCAACAAATTAGACTTTCCCCATCCTTGCTTAGTCGCTTTCTCTCCGTAACTGTTCATTGAAGAAGAATATCCACTTGTATTTCCCACAGTATAATCCATTCTTCAGATTTAATCAAAAAACGCCCCGAAAAGAGGTCCAGACTGCTCTTTTACATTTCACCAAGTTTGAGCTTTTTCTTTTTTTACTATTTTCATGTTCTCAGATGTCTATTACGTCTAATATGTACAGTATGAGGATTGGCTTTGGAGCATATTTTATCGAGCCAACAGGTGTCACCGGCACTGCCTCTGGATGTTGAGAAACATTGAACCAGTCCGGCCCTCGGCGCGTAGCAAAAACATTTTTTTGGCCCTCTGATGTATTTGACTTTGACATGCCTGATTTATGGGAATGATAAACTTTGAAAATGCATCATATTCTACTGTAGATGAACTGTTTAACTCTGTCACCTCTAGTGTTTTGAATATTCTGGACACCATCGCTCCTGTGAAGGTTAAAATAGTGAAAAATAAGCAGAAGGCGCCGTGGGCTAAAGCAGACTCGGTCAGAGCACTGAAGAGAAAGTGCCGGAGGGTCGAGCGGAAGTGGCGCAAGTCCAACCTCCAGGTTGATTACGAGATCTTCAAAGATAAGTTGTGCGAGTTAAACCGGGTGCTACGTAGTACGGGAGAAAGGTATTTTTCTGAAATGATTGAAGGCTGCAGTAACAATCTGCGTGTTCTGTTTTCAACAGTTAATAGATTAACAAACCCCCCTGTTCAAATGCCATTAGAGCTTACTTCCAAACGTAAATGCAATGAGTTTGCACACTTTTTCAATGACAAGGTTCAAGGCATCAAAAACGCCATTGTCTCCAATCCACAGATAACAATCCAACAGCCTGAAAGGCTCTTTGAGCTAACTCACTTTGCACCTGTAGATGATAAAAATGTCCAAGAGATAATCTCCAGTTTGAGCTTCTCCACATGCAGCCTGGATGTACTACCCACTAGATTTCTGAAGTCTGTTCTGAGCAGTCTGTTACCTTCATTCACACAGATAGTAAACATGTCCCTTCATTCTGGAATATTCCCAAAGGCCCTGAAAACGGCAGTCATCAGGCCCCTGCTAAAAAAGAGCAGTCTGGATGCTACGGTACTTAACAACTATCGTCCCATCTCAAATCTGCCATTTATGGGGAAAGTCCTTGAAAAAGTGGTCTACCTACAGCTTACTAGATTTCTTATGATCAACAACTCATTTGATATGTTTCAGTCCGGCTTTAGACCCCACCACAGCACTGAGACTGCTCTCGTCAAGGTTACAAACGATATCCGGCTGAACACTGACGCAGGCCAAGTCTCAATCTTAATTTTGTTAGATCTAAGTGCTGCCTTTGACACCGTCGACCATGAGATCCTCTTACAGAAACTAGAGGACTGGGTTGGAGTCGCTGGCACCGCCCTAAGTTGGTTTAGGTCTTACCTTGAAGACAGGAAGTACTTTGTGGAGATTGGAAACTGTGTCTCAGATCATATGGCCCTGACCTGTGGAGTACCACAGGGGTCGATCCTGGGACCTCTTCTGTTCAATCTCTACATGCTGCCGTTAGGTCAGTTAATACGCAGAAACGAAGTGTCCTATCATAACTATGCAGACGACACTCAGATCTATGTCTCACTGACTGCAGGAGAACATGGACCAGTGGACTTACTCCTTCACTGTATCCAACAGATCAGTGAGTGGATGCAAAACAACTTCCTTCAGCTAAACGCAGACAAAACTGAAATGATTGTCTTTGGTCCCCAGAAACAAAGAGAGAGCGTCATCTGTCACCTCCAGTCTCTCTCCCTAAAACCTTCAAACAAGGTCAGAAATCTAGGGGTAATACTGGACTCAGACTTAAATTTTAATAGCCACATCAAATCAGTAACATCAGCAGCTTTTTACCATCTAAAAAACAACGCCAGGATCAAAAACATAGTG